AGCAACACTGATTGGAAACTGAAGAAAAGCTCCTTCCTATAAAGTCCATTTTCAAGAAATAATTTTCTTTGGAAGGTTAATTATGTGAAATAAATGTTTCAATATTATTTTCTATTTTGTTTTCATTAAGTTAATCAACTGGTTTCATTGACTCTTATTTATTTATTTTTTATTTATTTATTTATTTATTTATTTATTTATTTATTTATACTTTTTCTGTTCTTAAATGTTTCATTAAACATTTCAAACCTCATATGACGTAGTATCATTATTATTTTTATTATTATTTAGATAGAATTAATCTACCAATGCTGTCTAAAGTGGACCAAAAAGTACAAGTCCAAAGCAGCTTTACAAAAAAAAAAATAAATAAAAATTTGTTGCTGCAGCCCTTTTTAAAAAAAAAAAGAAAAAGAAAAAAGAAAAGGAATACAAATGCAACTTAAACCACTGCGTAAAAATAAAAGATGCTTTATTTTGGTAAGGAAAAATGACTTCCGGTTTTATTCACTCTCTCATCAAATTTACGTCTTTGAAAAAGTGGCAAAAATGATTTGTTTGCAAAAAAAAGTCAGGGGTGAGAGGCAGAGAGCTACAAAGCTCGGAAACTGGAGTGCTGCTGAGAGAAGTGGGATTCTTTCCAGCTGAAGAAACTACAGTTTACACTTCCTTGGCACTTTTTGAGGAAACACTAATTACAGCTTTTATTTCTAAATGCCTGGTGCATTTGTGCTTTTTCCTTTTTTTTCTCTAACTACTTAAATCCATGCAAATGTGTGTGAGCTTGCAGGCCGTATTGTGATGGTGACTTGTTGAGCTGTAAAAGCACTAATACACCCACAGTTGAGCCCACACAGACACTACTGCATCCTGCATTTAGAGCTGCAATAACATCTCAAACTGCTGACTGAATGAGGCTGACAGGAAGTGGTGGCAAACTCAGGGGAGAACTTCTTTAGTAAGACTTGAATCTGTGTGGGTGACTGACTGTATAACCTCCTGTATAGATAACATCAGAAATGTTTCTAAAATAAAATCCCTGGACAGGGGTGCTGCCAGGAAATTGGGGCCCCATGATAATGCCCCAATCCCCCCCCCAAAAAAAGAAAAAGAAAATGAAAAGGGGCTGCTGGTATATTATCTGTTTACATGATGAGGGAGGGACAGAGACAGTTATTTAACGTACATATCCAGATAAACTTCTACTAGCATTTAGCTGATGCTAACCCTTTGAGGACTATTGCGTTTTCCTGTTGCCTGGTCTGGTTGATAAAGGTAAATTCTCAGCTCTGTGAGCTTTCTGGCTTAGTTATTTGGCCTCTGTGTTAATTACATACACACAATAGGCTCAATGAATGCTAGATGATTCCTTTCATTTTTTTTGAAAACTAAAAATGGAACACAACAAATTAATAAAAATCCTGCAATCATGTGCCGTTTCAGATGGGCGGCGTCATTAATGATGTGATTACCCTCCGACACTTAGGAGGATTAACCAAGTAAACCTGGGTTACGGTATTGGATGCCTTCTCTCCTCTTTCTCCTTCCTTTCCGTTCCTTTTTGAAACCCAGACTTTGGGGTGCTACATTTTTCAGCCGCGAACGTTTTTTTCCACACAGCTGCTTATTTACACATTTTGTTGTTAATTTATTTCGTTACCACTCTGTCAAACCATTTATTGCAATGACACTAACATATCCATGCTTTGTTTCACTGTTTATTGCTGAAAAATGAAGGAGAACATGAAGATTATTTATTTTACTGCTAGATTTTCTTTTTATATTTGAAAATTATAGTGGGAAACATCTTCTCTTCTACTTTTGCCCCCCCCCCCCTAAGTCAAGTTGTTTTTGTTTTGAAAACATGCAAATTGAAACAGACGAAGGGGTCCACCCCTTAGGAATGGAGGTCGTTTGGCTTATTTTGTTAGCCTGCAGTGTCACTGAAAGGGGTGGATGGGTTGGGGTTGCGATGATGACAGGAAGGGATCAACTAAATTGCTGCATTGTAGGGTTCTGAAAGCTCAAACCACCTATCTCCTTTGTCCAAAATATGAACATTCTGGTCCTCAAAAGAATGTCCTTTGTCCATAAGGTGTCCAGAGTCCTGTCCAGAGGAGGTCGTTCTTCTGTGTTGAGCCATGCATCTGTGGAGAGGGTGTTTGGCTCCTCCAATATAAAGATCAGAGCATACCTCACTGCATTGAACTGCATAAACCACTCCGCTCATATTTGGTCTGAGGGTTTTCTCCTTAGGATGCACTCAATGCTATTCCTGACAATTTGAATGGGAAAAAGCTTCCTGGATGGGAAGCGAAACGTCTTCAAACTTGGAAACAAAGACAAGTGGATTGTTTTTTTTAACTTTTTTGTCACCCTGAAGCCTTTTAAAAATCATGTTATGATAAAATAACTGTAATGCAGTTTAGAATTTACATATATTTGGTTCATTCAAAGATGTCTTACCATAATACATTGCAAGTGTTTTTAGATCCTCAGTTTTGTTTCACCTATTCTTTAACTCTGTTGCTACACTGCAAAAAATCTAAATCTAGTCCCTTTTTCTTAAAATAAGTGCATTTGTTCTTGAATTGAGGAGGTAAAAGAGACATTTTGGCAATGGAACAAGACGATTTACATTTAAAATAAGAAAACATAATTGCATTGTCTAATTTCAAGTGCATATTATCTAATTATCTTATTTTAAGAGTGAAATTACTCATTCCATTGGCAAACCAGCTCATTTACCTACTCAAATTAAGGGTGAAAACACTTAATTTAAGAAATGTTTACTTATTTCTAGATCGTTTTTGCAGTGTAGGCAGTCCAGTGGGTCTTAAACTCCTTGCATCAACCCTCAAGAAAGGTTCAAATGAATAATCTCCCTTTGAAATTAATAACATATTTTTCACCTGAAATGAATTTAGTACCATATTTACTATTTAATTACCTAATAAAGTTCAGGTGAGGTTCTCACAAAAGAAGCACTGAAAAATGGGTCTGACCACAAAGGTTCCTGTCACAGGGTAGGCAGTTCCGATGTAAGGAAATGCAGCTCTGCTGGTAAATATAGTCTCCGTTTTGGGGAATAGATCTTTGAATCACACTTGAATATCTCTTTTACAAATTATATATATTCAAAACTTCATGATCACCTATTGATGTTGCCACATTCTCTTTCATTGCAAGATAATATTCTATTCACAGCGGCTCTAAAAATTGCACATACCATTGTAAAAAAAGTATTTTGACATTATGTAGTTTTTATGAAGTCAGATCAGCAGCATCATTAAGAAGCGTACTATGTAACTACATGGTTTCAGCTTTATTTCAGTGACTTCACTGCAGAAACCAAAAAGGCCTGGGTTTTGTCTAAATTATTTTATGCATTTTCATTTTTGCAAGGACTAAGACATTTCTTAAAAAGGTACAGATGACTTCAGCCAGGCTATCTGAGAATCAAACAATCAAACATAAAGAAATAGAAAATGTCCAGCTGCATTTATTCAATTTTCTGGTCAATTTTTTGTCGCCCCTTTTTTTGGCCACAAGATGGAGATAGAATTCAATCTGCAGTACAGAGATTGGATTCTGATATTATCACTGACTAAAGATGAAACTGGTTCACAGAACAGCTTAATTACATCCTGTCGTTAGACAAGAATGTCAACAATTTGCATTTTGTGCAATTTAGGTAACCCAGATTCACTGATTTATAGGAGGTTCTTTACACCTTTTTCTTGTTTTTATTATATGTTTAAAGAAAAATTACACGTATTTATGTATTTATTCTAATCTCAGATCTAAAGATCTTAAGATTGCAAACTGAATAGTTAAACTGATTAAATTTATGGATCATGTCATGTCAGCAATAATCAGTCAAGGAGAAACAGGAAGTGCATAATATCTCTCTTCAAATTAATTGACTTTATCTCGTGTTTTGTGTTTTATTCGTTTATCTCATTTCACTGTAAAAGGGGAAATAAAAGCTTAAAATGTGCTTTTTTATCTAAACACAGAAGGAATATCAGATATTGTAATAATGACAAAAATTAATAATTACTAAGCTAAAGTTGGCCTATTTGTCTATTCAGTTGATTTGCAGTGGGTATGGAAAGTATTCGAACCCGTTTAAATTTTGCAGTCCTTGTTTCACTGCAGCCATTTACTAAAATCAAAAGATTTTATTTAATTTCTCTTTAATATACACTCATTATCCCATCTTGACACAAACAAACATATATGTAGAACATTCTGCAAATGTTCAAAAAGAAAAAAGTAAAATATCACATGGTCAGAAGTGTGGGTTTGTTTTTCATAAACATAAACACTTTTGGAATACTCAAACTAAGTTAACTCAAACTACAAACAGAAAATATAGAACTTTATTAAAAGACAAAAAAGGAAATAAACTTAAAATACAATTAGACACAAAAATGTGTCTAAGTTATTAAGACTACAAAAATATGACCTAAATAAAGAAATATAAACAATGAACATTTAAAGAAAATAAGGAATGAAATACTACCTAACTGCTTTTCTAACCTTTGCACACAGCTAGGTGTGCTGCAGTCCTCCTAATTGTAGGTAAACAGGACCACTCAATGGAAATTCTGTTTTTCTGTTTTATACACAAAAATATTTAGAAATGGATAACAAATATTTGGAAATCTTCTAATAATAAACAAAGGTTCAAATGTCCAAATGTCCATTAAAAGATGTTGAAAACACTTGGGGTTTTGAAAATCAGAGTTAACAAACAAACATTTTAGTTTAAATTTATTTTATTTTTTTTGTCCTTTTAGTAGAAGTCTTTTTTTTGCCTCAACTTGGTATACTTTTGGTTTTTGGTAGAAAAATTGATTAATTTTGTCTTTGAGGATAAAGATCATATCAAACCATTGCAGAAGTATTTCAAGCTTTTATTGTGAAAGAGCTAAAACGGAAACAGACCTTTATTGGCGAGCCATTTATATCCAGGTATGATCATTGAACCTCACAGCAGGTTGGGGCAGAAGAGCGCAGCGCAGCGCAGAGTATGGTGAAACTGACAGAAACTCTGTGGGGCTGAAGGTTTCCTCCATCATCTGTCTCCTCAGGAGGAACCATAAAGCTGCTCCTCCATCGCCCATAGGCTGGGATCTAAATGACAAGGAGGCAGAAAGTCATCCACTGATACCATGGAGAGCAAGGCTGTACTTCGCTGTAAGATTGTGGTGGTTGGAGACTCACGGTGTGGGAAAACGGCTCTCCTTCATGTTTTTGCCAAAGACTCGTATCCAGAGGTAAACACTTTACCAAACGCATGTTTTTTTATGTCTTTTTTATGTCGTATTTTTTAATCTGGGGTGCGTAAAAATCCACCCAAAGTGCGCATCAGTGTCTCCATTTTTAATTCTTTGGCAGTAAAACTTTGAAAAACAGTTTTATAGGTAAAGGTTTAGAGATATAAGAAGTTGAATATTAATTATAAACTCCTTAGAACATTTAATTTCATTTGTGCGCATTTGCGCCCCGGCAAATGTTGGTGCGCTCTGTGATCACCAAAGCGCACCGAGTCAAAGTGCTTTGTGCTAACAACTTTAAGAGCTTTAAAGGTATATATATATATATATATATATATATATATATATATATATATATATATATATATATATATATATATATATATATATCGCTTTAATGTTTTGGGACTAGACTGTAATTTATGTCCAAAATAAATAAATAGATAAAGATGTCCTAGGTTACTGGGCGGCATTATGTTCATATTTTGTCATGTCATCAGTTCATACTGCCACAAATTTTAGTTATTTTTCTCTCACCTGAACTAAATACTTCTTAAAATCTGTTATTAATGGCAAACTGTCCACAGTTTTAAAAAGAAATCCTTTCTGTCACAGTCTATTAAAATCAAAGCCAACTAGGGGTGGGCATTCATTGTTTTCTTTGGCATTTTGATTTATCTTCTAAATGAAAAAATTTAGGATGATTAAAATCTAAAATAGATGAATTGTCAGAATGTTTATTTTTACTAGTTTTTCTTTTCTTTAATTTTTTTTTTCCATTGGCAAATTCAGAAAACATGATTAAATGAATGTGGTTACTAAGGGTTACTATGTGATATAAATCACACTTCTTTATGTCATTGGTTTAATAAAGAAGCATATTTTAAATATGTATATTTTTCAACAGTAGTACATGTGAGGCTAAGATTGCTGTAGTATGCAGTCATAGCCTTTAAAGAAGACACGGGGAGTTGTTTTTTTTTATCATGACTTATCGTTATCATGATAGTACCAATAATATATGATTTTAAGTTAACATTGCTGAAATCTAAAGCCAACTGACCTAAATATCTAATCTAAATTGCTTAAAGCAGTGAATTGCTTTATTCTTTACTCTTTCATTTCTAACTCCTTTTGACATTCATCACTACCTTCCCCTGAAGATGCCACAATAGCAATCTGAAGTAAAATCCCACCATATTTCATATTCCCACACTGAGCTCTCATCCAGTGTCATCTATTTATTTATTTTTTTCAGAACTATGTTCCCACCGTGTTTGAGAATTACACAGCCAGCTTTGAGATCGACAAGCAGAGGATCGAGCTCAACATGTGGGACACTTCAGGTAGGATGCACTATTGACCTTTTTTTGTGTTATAACAACAACGGTACCATCCTAACAAGAGCTGCTCTGATCATTGGCTTAAAGAGGTGTTGCTGAGAGCTTCGGTTTGTTTTCATTGAATGTTTTTACAAAGTTCAGCACTGTCAACACATTTCAACGTGTCATCAATTTTGAACTGCATTCAACACAATCTGTCATCTACAGTAAATATTTCTTACTAATATGGGAAGTTTATTTTCTTTTTGAGTTTTACACTCTCTGGGGTTTAATTATGTACTTTGAATAACACCTTCAAAAGTATTCATACATAAACCTTTTTTACATTCAATAAGGTTACAAATAAAGGGGTTTCATCTGACAGACTAACACAAATAATTGGAATGAAGGGGATTTATTTAAGGGCTTTATTTATTTGTTTTACAGACAGAAATCTGAAAAGTGTGGCCTGCATTTATTGCATGGGCTAGCCTGATAAACCAGACTAAATGTGAGATTAAATGTTTAGCCCGTTTGGCCCGATGAATGAATCATCTGAAGATTGTTAATGAGAAAAACCTGTTGTCGTTCAAACCGCTGTCTGGCCTATTGGCCAACGCTCTGACCAATGAGCGCAACTGACTGTGACATAGTAAGCGCGACAGAAAGATGGTGGGGGAGTGTAAACAAACAGCATGTGATGTGAGCAGTGGATAACTTGTTGAGATCACGGAGTTGGACCATTGTTGTCGTTTGTGCAAAAAAAGACATGCGAGTAGCCGGTGTACTACACCACTGTACACAACTTTTCCGAAGTTCAATCAACCGTTGTCAGTGGCAGAAAGATTACAGAAAGTGGGAGTGAACGTTACGATTACAACAATTGAGTCTGTCGAGCTTGTACGACGGTGTTGAATACACTGAAAAAAGTAATGCAACCATTTTTTGACATTTATTTAATCATATTTAGTTACTTTAACACAATTGTTTCATGTTAGCTGGGTAGAACATAAAGCAATTGTGTTAAAGTAACTAAATATTAGTAAGTAAATCCCAAAAGCGGTTGCATTATTCTTTTCAGTCTAGACTGGAAAGAGATCTGCCAATTTATTGGAGGTGGATTGAAAACGAGGTGCCCCCGCAGAACAAACAGCTGCTGAAAAGAGAGCTCAGGAGCCTACTCGGTCGTAAACAGAGAGACTTGAAGAAGCTCCGCCACAAAACAGACAAGCCAACGTTATCTGTCTCAGCGGAATATAGCCGAGGCAAGTTGACATTATCAGTATATAATTACAACCTGTGACGGCAAATCTATCTGCCTGTTGGTAAAACGGCGAATACGTCCCTCTTAAAAATGAATGAGCATAGAGCCTCTTCCTGGTCATGTTTCAACGAAAACCCCAGGTCTAATCCTTCCAAAACTGATTCCAAAGCGGAGTCAAACGAGAACTGTTCAATAGTTATTGCCATCTTCCTTGTTGTGCTTTCTCCAGCGTCGCACAGCTTTGTCGTCACGCCCTCAAACCCCGCCCACGTTGCACCCCGAAATTCAAAACACATCTCTGCGTTGTGATTGGCCTGCCAGTTATAGGGCCTGGGTCATTGATCGAGCCTAGACCAACTCGTAGGCAAAAATTATTTTGGCCGCTGGCGGGTGGACCTAGTTTACTAGGCTATGCATGGGCAGCTTTTTCCTTTTAAAATCTGCCATGAATTCTTTATTCAACACCGATCTAATTCAGGGGTCTGCAGCATGCTGCTTTGCAAGGTCTTTGCTCGATATTAACTTTGACTGAAATGTTGAAGAAAAAAAAAAAACAGACTTGTCTTGGAATATAATGCAAATTTAAAAAAAGTACTTTTATATATTTTTTTATGATCTGCCTCTAAAGAATTTCTTCAGCAGAATGAAACTAAAGCTGCATGAAAAACTTATTTTCTTGATTAATTATTAAAAATTGTAATCTGATTAAATATATTATCAGCTTTTGTCTTTTATTTGCTACAGATTTTAAGTTTGGGAGAGTTTATCCATACTTTATTTATACTTTTTGTAAAGGTTTGACATTTTTCTTAATGTTTTTAAAATCTAAGAATGGAAAACCTCCTTCTAAACTAAACTTAGTAGGTTACCAACCGGTTTCCATATAATTTATATATGAAAATATATTTATTTTCTTTGCAGAGTCCTTTAAGTTTTATCTGCTTGAGATAAATTCAATATAGTAAAAGTCTTACTGTAAGACTGAAAGTGAAAATAAATACATTTTGGGGGTTGTAAAGGAGGCAGAAACGTGATCCAAACTGCTGTATCATACATCTGGTTTCATCTGTGGTTTTGATCATCTTTAGGAAACCGAACATCCGCCTAAGTCTCTGACATCTGATCTAAAAAAAATCCATATTTAGTGTCTGCTAAAGGGAAACATCCCCACAAAATGATTCTGTCGATGCTGTGTCTCTGGAGGGTCACATGTTTTTTCTAACATGAACTTTGACCTTTCTGCTTTGTTTCTTGGTTCACTAATTGTTCTCTACAAACCTCTAATACTTTCATAAAACAGCTGGATTTAAGAAAAAATAACACATAGATGACCTTAAGTTACTATATAGGCGTTTGGTTGCATTTATCAAAGTAAGTGTGGAAGGGTACAATTATGCGCCACGCTCTTCTATCTGCATCTGTATCCTTCCACTTTGTAATTATGCACTACATTGTGCTGCACAGAGACATGTTCGCCCTTCACTTCCAGTAAAGTAGTTTCTATGGAGCTGTAAAAGTCTTTGCAAAGCATCAAGCTGAAATGATGAGAAAGATATAAAAAGGAATGTGTTTTACTGCCAAACTGAAGAATCGATTTGGGGTTTTAAGAACAATGAAAATGAAACTTTTATGCATGCAAATCCACCACACTTCAACAAAGTACCCCCTTGAGCTAAACTACTGTTAAGAGTTATTATTTAAAAAGTAATTATTTGATAAAAATAAAACAGTTACATACACTGGAAAAATCCATGTTTATGTAAAACGATGAAAAGCACGTAGTTTGCAGCCTAATAAAAAATATGAAACTATTCAATTGGTTTATTTTTCCTAGTTTCTATAAAGATATAAACAAAAACCACAGAAAATCTTCTATAAGTAGGCTTTCACCTTCTGCTTACTTTGACTTAATCTTAGACTGAATTTATCGAGAGAAACAGTCCAATGAGGTGTAGGTCGCAGGCTACAGGTTAATAATAAAAATCTTATGAAAATGTATTTAACTTTATGGCTGAAACATCAGGACATGTTAAAAATTGATCTGAATGCTTTTGCAAGGCAAATATGTCAGACTTAAAAAGATCTAAGGTTGGTAAACTGATATTTTTACTCTTTTGATATAAACCTTTTAAATATCTCTCACTTTCCTTCACCCTTAAGAGGATGCATTAGTACAAAACTAGTCACACAGTGCAGAGAAAGGCGATAATGCACATCGTTGCTTTAACCTCCACCCATGCAGGGAGAGACAGACTAGCTAGACAAGCTAGAGATTAACAGTGGCTGCTGCTGGCCTGTGGGCTTGCTGTGGGTGAGGCCACCGTGTCTAATAAAATACCTCCCAAAACGGCTGCACACATAAACACACCTTTTTTTCCTCACTGGGCTGTTTTGTGAATAACAGTTACTCCAGTGAAACACTTAAACAGTAATTTTCGACTTAGTTAAGAATGCAGTTCTTGTTTTATTATAAGCATGTACTGTAGCACTACGGTGCCATATTACATGAAATGTGATCAAACCTGAAGAACAGCCTCTTCAGTTCGGTTGAAAGCATTAGAAAGAACATTCTCTCTAGTCCCAAATGCTCCCTGTCTGCATCGTGGAATAAAATGTCCTCGCATGAACCTCAGCACCTTACAACTACCTAAATAAAAGCCTGGCCTCAAACCACCAAATTTAATATTCTATTTTAGGTCTGTGCAAATGAAATCCATAAAGACTTGGATTGCGAATTAAGCTACAGGCTTTATTTAATATTAGAAAGACAGCTTTATATCCTGTATTTAGTAGGTGAGGGGACAAACGGAAGGACAAAGTTTAAATACTTTGCTCCAAAAAACTCTTTTTTGGGAGCAAAAAAACAACAGTCTGTGAAATGTATTTATGTAGCACCTTAGCATAACAAAGTGCTTCATAATAAGCTAAAATTAAATAAAAATTGTGCATATAGTTAAAAAGTTACAGACATTAATGCATATAAACATGATGTAAAAGTCTAAAATTGTTGGTTTTATAAATGAAAGCCCACTTATGAAAGAATGTCTTTAGGTGTGTAAAAATGGGAACTTTCCATACCTGAAAGATAAAATCAGAGTTTTTAAGTCCTTTCTGAAGTGACCTAAGAGTCAAAACGGTCGTTATGTTTCTCGATTATTTATGTTTTAAACCTAATGGCAATGTTTTCAGCTTTCTACACCAGATCAAGCTTCTTGTTTAAACATATAGATAAGAAGCTGCAGAATCCAAGTTATTCAGTTAAATATTTCTGAGATGGTTCTTGTGAGTTGCTCTAAACACATTGCGTAATCAAAAATAACACCCAGGTTTCTAAGGCTGGACTGAAGAACAGCAAAGAATCTAATTTTCAGGAGCAATAATTACAGCTTTAGTCTCAGGTGAGGTAAGCTTTTCATAGTTGTCACTTAACCACTGTTTGATGCTGCTAAATGACCTTCATTTATGAAACTCTTTGATTGAATGAGTAGCATATCTGGGGTAAACCACAATTACACTTGATAGAATCTGATAATCCCATTCGCTGAAACAATAAAACCTGTGACAGAAGGTTTAATGAAATCTATATAGCTCAATCTTGATAAGTTTATTAATCATAATCTTTTAATAAACAGTTTTGAAACCTGACGACAGATTGAGCAATCTTTAATAGTTTTACTATTTGCTTATACCCAGTCTTCAACATTTAAGACTTAAAACTGAATTTAAACTCCCAAACAATAGACACTTAATAGACCCAAAC